GGAGGTTCTTAAACCATTTTTATTGGCTGATACTAGATTAGGTAGTTAATGAGGGGTTAATAGTTAATATTTAGTTGGAATAAATAAGATATTATGAAAATATAATTAATATTACTCATTAATGATTCTCTTTCTCTCTCCCCCTTGATCTTCTCCATAACCCTCTCTCTCCACTACAATATAATATCAACATTTTGCAATAACATTATCAACATTTTGCAATAACATATTGTATTATTATTATTGATATGACCCATACATTATCATTCTCAATGATCATAAAGCACTAAAAACGTATTAATAAGTAACATGTATTTAATGGATAATGCATCCAAAAACTTTGATAATGATAGCAACTAATGATTGTTAAGTGCCTTATTACATATTATTAATATCTTATTTTCAAACATTGATAATGCTTATACACGCCTATTAATAATGACACCAACTACGTTACTAACTTAGACTGAAAGACTAATAACCATAGTTATATCATTAAACATAAATTCACTTTTGATAATGTCATAAACAAACGAATATCTAACAAGTATGCTTCTTGATAATGACATTTGACAAAGTTACAAACATAAACGAAAAAATATTAATAATTCAAATCACTAAACATAAGCAATCTTACAAATTAAATAAATTTTTGCTAATGGTTGTATTGTGCTTGAAAAAAAACGGCTTAATTGCAAGTTTGGTCACTCGAATTGCTATAAAATTTCACGTTTGCCACTCAAATTAATTTATTCCATTTATAGTCACTCGAATTAGTTGAACAGTTCAAGTTCGGTCACTCTCCGTTAACCTCCGTTAACTTTAACTGACGTGGCGGTCAACTCTGACAGTTGACCGTTAAATGTGTGACGTGGCAAATAAAAAATAATAAAAATAAAAATTAAATTTTTAGAAATTACACATCATTATCTCAAAGAAATTATCACAAAAACAAACAACACAAAATTCCTTCCAGATTCGTGCCCTGCTTCCATAGACAGAGTCTTTAGTCTTTACCATACACATGAAAATTGGGTTCTGTTGGTTCGTCGTTGCAGGGCTGGGCAACTGCGATCTGGACGTCAGAAGAGGAGTTTCACCCACCACAGAGTCAATAGCTGCCGCCGTGCTCTCACTTCCATCGTCGGGTGGGTTCTTCCCGACTGCGGGTACGACTAATGCATCTGCAATTCGGCATGCCCACAATATATAACTAACTCGATCCATTATTTAACTTATTTTAATGCATGTGTATAACTATAGCATCTTTACTTTGCAGGTTTACATTTTGTTACTGTCTGGTTCCAACAGTATTTGATTAATTAGTTAGATTAGTTCAACGCAAACAATAACAAATGAAGATCTGAAGCTTAGTTGGTGGAGGAAATTGCTTACAAACATGCTGTTGAAGATTCAAGAACTCAGCTGCAGGGACAAAAGTCCAAAAGAAATAAAACAGAGGAAACCACAAGAGAACAGAGTGTTTTGGAAGGAGGAATACTGCAGTTTTGAACTCAACCCCTCAACCATAAGTTAGTACTTAGTACCAGCTTCATGATGGCGGAGAAAATCTCCATGGCGCCAATGTGGCGGAGGTTGCGCCAGTGGTCGGTGTAGGGGGCTCGGGTTATGGTGGTGCGGTGAATTGGGGGGTTTCAAGAGGCTGACGTGGCCGATGAATGGGAAGACAGATGGCGGGCTTGGAGGCAGTTTCCGGCGTACGCTGATAACGACGCAGAGGACGAGCTTCCATTGGCCATTGCCCTTCCTAAAATTATAATTATAACTTTTATTTTATTTTTTTAATTTATTATGATGATGAGGTGGAATTATTAAAAGATTTTTTTTTATTTTTTAATTGCCACGTCATTTATTTAACGGTCAACTGTCAGAGTTGACCGCCACGTCAGATAAAGTTAACGGAGACTAACGGAGAGTGACCAAACTTGAACTGTTGAACTAATCTTAGTGACCATGAATGGAATAAATTAATTTCAGTGGCAAACGTGAAATTTTTTAGTAATTCCAGTGACCAAACTTGCAATTTACCCGGAAAAAAACATTGATAATAGCACTTCAAATGAGTATAAATCATTGAGAACCAAATTGATAATACGATGTAATAGTAAATAAACTTCAAGTACCAACAAATTGAAAACACAATTTCACTTTTGCTATGTTACAAACAAAACATAACATAAAAAGTTAAAAATGTCACATAAAAATATTAAAAAACATGTCGAACAACATTAATAATAACACAAACGAATACCTAACAACGTAAAATCTCAAACTCATGCAATGAAAAGCCCTAATGATTTCAATTTATAAATATTGATAATGTCATTACAAAATGTTAATACTTAATACTAATCGGAAGTTGCCAAGATGTGAGAGAGGCATATATTTTAAATTTTAAATTTCCATTTTAGAAAAAGAAAATTATTAAATTCGGATTTTATTAAATAATAAATAAAATTAATTTCATATTTCTTTTTAATTATAATGTAGAGAGGGTTATGGAGAAAATCATGGGAGGAGAGAGAAAGAGAATCATTAATTAATTATATTAATTATATTTGCATAACCATATTTACTTTTAACTACCTATTAACTACTAACCCTCATTAACTAGCTAATCCACTATCAGCCAATAGGAAGGCTTTAAGATTTTCCTTAAGAAATGAGGCTTAAGGACTTGAACTCAAGCCTCAAACTAGTTGGTTGTGATGTTCTGAGAACAACGATTTTCCTCGCACGATTATTGAAAATCTCGTGGCTGTTACGAGAAGTTCTATGATTACTAGTTTATAATAGTGCTTCATATAGTCAAAAACTAGTTTAAAGTCTAAAAGTCTACGCTTTTACACTTTGGAACCCCCAAATATTGTAGTTTTTGTTTAAAAAGCCTTTTGCACCAAAACCCAAGTAAAAGCCCTTAAGCCCAGTAAAAGCCTTAGAAGCTAGCTTTTGACCGCTTCTCTACGCTTTTGATATCCGAGCATGATGATCATATTTGGTCGTGTTTGGTTCAATTTTTTGGACAAAAGAGAAAAATGATGCGGTCTTATTTGTTTTCTAGTCGGGTTATCCTTCCAGTCTTTGCTTTTATAAATTTATCATCCCAGATTCACCGTCACTTTCCACATTCTCGTATTTTCACTGCCTCCAGAACCACAAGACACATCCAAAGTCCCGCTTCCATCGTTTTCCCCTTAGTTTCCCGCAACATGCATCCAACTTCCTCTTAGTAGGCTCCCACTGCTACAATAACTTGGACATCTTCACTCGATGCATCAACCCTCCCCATCCCTATAACTACTATCCCACCTCTATGACTAAGTTGTCGTCAAAGCTCATCTCCTTCAACCTCACATTTGCCGCCACTTTCACTTATTAGTGGAGTTTGTCTATAACCAGTGCTGTCAAAGCCGAACCGAGCCGGCCGGTCGGACCGGTAAAACCGGCACCCGGACGCCAGCCCGGCTCGGAACCCTTCAATAGCCGCAACGGCCAGGAAGGACGGTTTTTGAGCGGCCGAAATGGTTAGCCATTCAAGCCGCTCGAACCGTCCAACCGGTTTTTGGTTTCTGACCGTTTGGAAATTAAAAAAATCAACAAAAAAAATTTATGGGTTTACTTTAATCCCATCGAGTGGTGTGGTGTCCTGCGAAAGGCTGACCATCGACTGCTCCACCTTGCACTGTCCGCCGCCGCCGTTGGCAAAGGAAGAAACTCCATTTGATTATGCGCCGGCGAGTTGCGGGAGAGCGTGATGTCGGTTAATATCAATTGCTATTAATTGGGATGGAAACAGAGTAGGAGGAATGGGCGAAGGTAATAGGAAGAGGAATTGAATTGTGAGTTTTGTGGAAAGGCGGAAAGGGCGAAATCAACGCTGGGGATTGGGGAAAATATGCGCTGATATGTCATCAGGAATAGGAAAAGGATCCATCAATTGGAACTGGCTTCCCCCACCGCAGCCGCTGCTGCTCCAGAGGACGTCGGTTTGGCGAAGTCGTTGTGACCACCGTAGGGATGATCCATTAACGGCGGGAGCGACAAGGAAGAGTCCAAAAGGAAATCGTCGTTGCCGATCTAGATTTGAGATTAAGAGAAGAGAGATGGAAAAATTGTAAAAAAGAAAGAGAGCGGATAGGGGTAGAGCGGCGCTGCCGCTGATGGGGTGGGTGAGCGAATTAGGGTTTGTTAGTTTTAGTTTATATATATATAAATGGTAAAATTACTAAGTGGTACTCAAAAAGTAAATTTCATTTTAATCATTAAATTATTAAATTGTTACCTTATATGTCTTTTTATTTATGATATTATTACTTATAAGGTACCGGTTCTCAAACGGTTTTTAAACGGTCTAATGCCGGCTGGACCACTAATGACCGAGCCGTTCAAGATACCGGGTCAAGCTCCGGCTCGGCTTTGACAGCATTGTCTATAACCCTTCTAGCTTCATCATTTGTTGGGTTTTTTTTTTCCTCATATTTTTTCTAGAAAGCAACAGGAAGGTGGCGAATTCTTGTTTAAAGGCCTATTAATTTAGTTTATGTGTATGAGAGTAATATGTTAAATATGAGCTAGTTCATCTCTCTGTTCATATTTTGCATAATACAAGTTATGGTTAGAAGATTTCTATTAAAATTATATGATGTGCAAAAGCTTACGCTTTCATGCTTCGCTTTCGCGCTTCCGCTTTTACCCATAATTTCGCTTTTACCTAGAAGTTAAACTTTGACTGCATTGGTATGAAGGGCGATCAAAGAAAACCAATTCAAGAGGAATTATTTTTAAACAAGGGTTAGTCTGATGATAATCAAGGTTAAAGCGAGCAAGTGAAACTCCTTCGCATCATAAGACGAACTCAAAGAGTTTCTTACTAAAGATGCTTAGCCGAACCGAATGAATAAAGGACTTTCTTATGTACAAGTCTAAAAGGTTTGAACTGGCTAGCAGATAGATCAGCTAGTTCAGTAGCTTAAACCATTTCATAAACAAAAAAAGTTGGGAACTAGAGCCTTTGAATGAGAATTTCATCAGCTATAATCTAAGTTCGAACCTTGCGACAAACAACCAACGAAAAAACTTTGATTCCCATTATAATATTCAATATATATTTCAGTTAAGCACATTGATCTTAGCCTAGTCCTCTTTTTCTCTTCAGAACAAGAACAACAAAGCCTACCCCATGGCTCCCACAATGGGATCAAACCTTATACAAATTGCCCACTTAACTTTTCCTTCACAATTGTCTGTATACAGATTGATGAAATGAAATTTCTAGGACCCAGAAGACTTTGCTCTGTAAAGAAACCACTATCAACACCCACCACCACTTCCTGTCTATACAACTTGACTCTCAATGTCAAAGAAGAAACCATAAAACTAAAAGGAAATGCTCTCTATACCTTCTTTCTCTTCTGGGAATACTTTCTTTGTAAGAATAACTTATGCAGATGGGGGTGTAAACAAAGACTAAAACTTGTATCTATCTTTTTCCATTTAGTTTCTGGTTAGCAGTAATTAAGCAAACTTGATTTTCCATTTAAAATGTGATACGCGGATGATGCCCTCCTCGAGGCACCCTCCACGGTCTCTACATCGACCAAGAATGTCGCACATACCGGTCTGTGATCCGAGAACCGGTACTCCTTTCTCACGTACGACATCTGCTGCATTCCATTCCCGTGCCAAAGTATTCTGTCACACCTTCAGACACGAGTTTTTGCCAAAACATCAACGTAAGAAGCGTGACAGATTGGTTTATGACACACTGCATTGGTGAAGTTAAGACAGAGATGGAGTTGTTACCAAGCTGGAGTTCTTCTCTTGTTCTTGGAGTCCACAGTTTCTCCAGAATAAATGTCTGAGTTCCAGGAGTATTTGTAAGTTGGTGCAAAGTAGATCTTCCCCTCTTTCCATCCTTTGAACACTTTACCTTTGTCCCTCTCAATCTTCAGCTGTCATGATTTTTCCCGGGCACACATATGTGAGATGATATGTGTACAATAGAAATGAAAAGGATTTGAAAAGAGCATCCCAGGCACCCCTGGCTGTACCTGATCTTTGTCGAAGAGTGCATTCCAGTCGTTTCGTTCGAGGAGCTTTCGAGTTTCTGAATAGTTGAGAGCTATTCTGTAGTTCAGGTCACCGAGCCATATGATCCGGCTGTGGGAACATCATCATTCCAAGTAATGTAAGTCTCATAACTAACCAACTGCAGAATAGAACATAGATAAGTTCTGCTGGTGTTGCTTACTCGTGTTGGATGATTCTCTCGGGCAAGTTGCTGTAGGGTGATTTGCAAGTCCTGGGGAATTGAGTGTTTTTTAGTATCTCAATCACATCCAAATTCCTCCTCAGCTCATCTCCTTCTTTTTCCCCTGATGCCAAGTGACTGCAGATGAAGCAAAAGGTCGTCTGATGGAAAGACATGCTCACGGATATGCAACCCTGCGATTTTCAACCACCACAAACTTCACCGATACAGATCCACTGTGGAAAGAAATTCACAAGGAACCAAAAAAGAACAAACACCAGACTTATCTATTATGTATTCCTACCTTGTTACCAAGGCAACCCATGATTCCACGACTAATGTAAGAAACCTTCAAGTGACCAACATGTTGAACATGCTCTTTCTTCATCCAGACAGTGAGAAAAATCCCAACCATTTGCTTCCCCACAACAAGGCTGTATCTCAAGTGATTGGCACCACTAGCAACGATATCTGAAGATCCACCGCCGTTGAGTCCATCCTCCTCCTCTTCTGATGAGAACCCGTCATCACCTAAGTTTGTCTGTGGGCACCAAAGACAGAAGTCCTTGTTGTTCTTCCTCTCCATCACATGACTGCAATTGCAGGTCTTGAGGCGACGGAGATTCTCGGTCCTGAAGCTCTTGCAGACCTTCCTAAGGGAAGGCCTCTGAAATGGAAGCGGGTTTCCAAGAGATGCAAAGGGCTTTGACCCTTTTGAACCTACAGCATATGGTCTGTTCAGAGACTGGTTGATAAGAGCAAGCCACTTTGCAGCCGGCTCACTGTCCTCTGCCACAAGGACATTGCCAGCATTCAATGGAACAATTTCCTGAAAGCTGTTACAGTTGAAAGCAGAAAAGCCATAAGAAAGAGCAACAAGATACATGTTGCCAAATTTTGAAAAACAAAACAAGCCGCCAAATCCTGGTTTAAGATGAACAGATGATCAACTCACTCACCCTAAGACATATATGTCTGCTTGGTTATGGACTTGGAGAACATCATCCAGATTGAGGCCACTGTGAGGAGATTTCCCTCCCACGTTCCACGTCGCCACGAAAATTCTGGCCACGATCTAAGACTTTGTTAGTAACAACTTCACCAACCAACCTCGAATACAGCAAGAGTTCATGTCACATGATTCATTCGTACCTAAATGGTTCTTCAGCTGTCTGGTGATTAGGCATCCTTGAAGTCAAATGGTTTGAAAAAAGAGACTCAAGCGCAGAACCGCTCCGCCTTTCTGATGACAAAACAGGACAATCGAGTAAGGAAAATTTAGCCCAGAAAACACTCAGGAATTGGAAAGATGGTTCCTGACCAACTTTTCCAGAGCAGAAAACAAGCATTTTGAAGACTCTGAAAGTAAGAAAGAGAAGAGAAAACACAGCATCTGATGGGGCCCTCAAAGAATGTAATGCCAATGAAGAAGCTTCCTTTATTTGCATCTTACATTGATTCTTTCAAAAGTTCATTCAAGGAATCAATTCTCACCCCTCCATCCTCCCAAATTGCAGAAGAAACAATAGCAGCATATGCTCTCTTATCCTCCCTATCACCCCAACCCCTGAAAAGAACAAGGAATGGAAGAAGAAGGCAAGATAACCCTAATCCAAGAATTTGATCCTTCCCATTTTGGGTAACCCATTTGGGAGGAGGACCTCACTGTAAACTACACAGAATGCCAAGCAAAGGACCCACCTGAGAATTCAATATCTAGATCAACCCAGATGAAAAAGAAAGCAACTTTGGCAATGGTGGGGTGGAATAATTGCATGTGATGTGTCACAAACCAAGATAAGAGAGAATCACCCCCAATATCAGATCCATGATTGAAGAACTGTGGACTCAGCTAGGCTATGAATTGATTGATCAACGAACAAATCTAGACCATACGATTGAACTCATGACTCACCAGGTGAAGAATTGAATGGGTCTCTTGTCGATCTCGTCACAATCACCTCCCTTGACGAGAATATCTTCTGCAGGAAAGACTGGGCACCCAATCCATCATTACTAGATAGAAAACAAAACACAAAAGATACATATGACCAAGTAATGATAATGGCATTGCTCTGTTCTTTCTTACCTTCTTTCTGTGGTCTTGGTTCGTCATTCTCGTATCTTGAAGAACAATGCTCTCTCATTCAATCAAATCAACACAAAGAAGACTCTCGCTCCGAACCAAACAAAAACCTAAAAAGATCTCAAAAGACAAGAGTCCTCTCCAATTGAAACTGTTGCATCAACAACTCCTCCGCGCCTATTGAGATAGTCGAAAACAGAGAGACGGGGAAAATAAAGAAGTTATTAAACAAATAAAAGCAAGCAACGATCACGCAACTCCCAAATGCAAAGCAAGAAACTGAATTTCTCGTCTTCGTACGTTACTTTTTCCCCCCTGCCCTCCAAATTCTTTCCCCAGAAGACCCAGATTTGACTGGATTAAGATTAAAGCCCAGAGCAAAAAGGGCAGTCAGCAGTCTAGAAAGAAAAAAAAGCAGAAAAGGGAGATTCAATTTACCAGAAAGGAAGAAAAGGGGTTGGTTTGTCGTAGGTGGTTAGGATGCTGCGGCGGAGAAAAGAGAGAAAACGGGGCACTACCCATGAAAGTACACGTTGCCAGCAGCAATGGGTTCCCGAGAGAAAAACGAAGGAAAGGGGGGAAAATATTTTCTCGAGAAAGTCAACTAGTCAAGAAACAATGTCCCCTGTTATTATGCGACATTTTTTTTGCAGAGGTGGGAGACGAGGAGAGCATTACAGGGTCTGAACATTCGGGCGATAAAACTGAGGGAATCGGCTGATACGCAGAGAGGAAAAGATAAAGGAGAAGAAGTTGGACCATTTTTTTGGGTTGTTCGTCAGATTTGAGTTGGTTGGAGAGCAGCACGTAGGAGTTCCCGCAAAGCTGTCTTAGATGATTATAATAAACGAAATGAGAAGAAGCATTTTAGGTTTGTTTATTCATGGGGGAAATTGGCGGGGGAACAGTCAACAGTGGGAAGCCATGCCATCATCTTAAATGGGAAAGTCTCAAAGGAGGAGACCTCTTTGTTTTCTCGTTTTCTGGATCTGGAAGGGCCAATGAATGAACCAGGGAGTGGATTATTCAACGAAAAAGAAACAAGGAGTGGATTTGGGAGAGGTGTAGGGAAAGAAAGAAGAGAAAAGGGTATAGAAAGCAGGAAATTTTTTTTTTTTTTTTTTTTTTTTTTTTTTTATAACCCAGGGAACCTCAGCCCCACGTGCCGCTTGAGCGACAGCGGGGCCTACTAAACCACTGGGGGTACCTGCATACTAACCGGGGCTTTCTGCTACCAACATCGGGGAGGCTTCGCCTCCGATACCAAGGGTGCCGCCGGGAACGCACAAGTGGCTCCACTGGGAATCGAACTCAGGACCTCTCACATCCAGAGCTCAATTGGACCAGTGTTTTCACCACTAGGCTATGTTACCTTTGGCGAAAGCAGGAAATTTAAAAATCCGTTTCTTTCCGTGTTGGTTAGACTTTTAGAGGGTGAAATTCACAATACTTTTCTCGACCTTTTACCTAAGATCAACTATAGAGGGTGAATTCACAATTGCGTGTAATTAAATAAATAGGTCATCTTATTGACGCTTTTAGACGTTGTTTGTTTCATATTTTTTTGTTTGGAGGTAAGTGGAAGAGGCAAATTTGCAATTGCATGCATTAAAATAATTACATCACTGATAATACGAATATATTAAACCATATATTCTGTCACAATTTCCTATACAATCGCTAATACGAATATATTAAACCATATAGTGTTTTCGAAAACACATTGAAAATAATGTAAATATAATTCTGATTTTCATTCCGATTGAATCGAATGATATCGGTTAGACCTATATCGAACTAAATCCCCCTCACAAGAATACTTATATTTAAGCTATTCAGTACTCCTTCGAAGAAAATGTTCATAGCAGTCGTTGCTTTTGCGACAAAAGAGATCGTCATCGTCATCACCAAAGCAGGTTAAGTGAGGTATGGGGAGAAGCAAGCTGAGTGCCCAAAACAAGTGCAACAAAGTAACCAACAAAACTGTGTGAGCAAGCCGGGAACCACACGTGGAATGGAATACCTTGCGCAACAAGGATGAAATTATGACAGAGAGACCAAGGACATGGAACACACAAGAACTGACAAGTCTTGGAACTTACCAGTCATCATGTTTATACGAACGCACGAACAATAACGATATTACGAACGAACGCGACTAAGGTACTTACAACACCATATGCAAGGATGTTCATACGATACAATGCTTACAGTGTTCGGATCCAGCGCAATCATTTCTTGTATTCAGCAATGTCAAGTATACTACTCTTAACAATTTGAACAGCTATGCGCACATACGTCGAAGAATCAGAGATCGCGACTTCCACGCCCAATTGGGCATTAACAAGACCGACCATGGAGACCGGACATGAAATGGTTTCATCTTTTTTAGCTCGACTCGATTTGATCCCCAAATAAACTAGCAAACGTAGAGAATACCGCAACACCTAAAATTCGACTGTTTAACACAAGACAGAGGTAATATACCCTCGGGGACGAGCACAAAAATCGAACCTAAGCAAGCACACGAACAAATGTACAAACACCCTTCTACACAAGGAGCTACACAAGTTCCGAACAATAACAAGAGATGTCAGGAATCATACAGGGCGCAGGATCAATAGAACTGTCCAACTAATGTTAATTCTGCAACGTCATCATCGAGGCGGAGTCGGGTTCGTAGCCATGTACCCGGAAGCGGTATATGCAGGTGTGGGCGTGGCTGCCATGGTTCGACGTGAAGTCCAGCCTGACGGTGTCGATGACATGTGAGGCCGCCGAGTCCAGAACGTTGATGGTCTGTGCATTGCTCTTTTCCAGATCGTACGTGAACTCGGCGAGTAGAAACAGCTTCTCGGGATCCGCAGTTGAAGTAACGTCAGTCCCTCTGAACCAGCCAGAAACACGGCAGTCCTTCGGGGCGCTGGACCGGTCATATGCAACACTCTGTATAAGGAAAAAATAAAAAAAAACAAACAGGATCAATTGATAAGGGAACTGAACAAGCAGAGGCTAAAGCAACGACAGAATGTTTCTAAGGATGTCAATAACATGCTAGTGCAAAAAAAAAAGCACATTGCGTGCCGCTAGAAGAAGCCTCATCTAGTAGCATCATCTATGGCCAGGATGCTGTTACAACTTACTACCATCCTAAAATCCCGCACAAACTAGCTCCTGGCTTATATTCACCCTATAATGAGTTCGCCCTCCGGTTCCCTCAAAGTCCTCATAAGTTGCATCATTAAACTAACAGGCCTAACTGATGTTCAGGCAACAAATAAACAACAGCAGAACACATAAGCACTTCCCTACTATGTAGTTGACTTGTGACAGCAGAACACATAAGCACTTCCCTCTAATAGCAGAAGACCAATCGCAAGACACTCGTCAAATATGAAAACAAGATATGTGCAATCCATTTTGATTATCTAGAGTTTGGACTTTGAAGCATTGACGTCAAAGCATCAGCCATGTGATAACACTGTGGGCTCAAGACCATACAGGATGAAGCGTTACTAACTAAAATGCAAGCCCCACATTCAAACACACATTCGAATGGAGTCAGTCTGATAAAAGAAATTGGATAAGGGATCAAATAGCAGAATTGGAAAAAGAAAACTACGGCCAGTACAGAGGGACACCAAATTAAGTGCCATACATAAGATGATTAGAAGTACGCTTGCCACCTTAAACCAATGCAAATTAGAGGGCTATTCTTGGTTATAGGAGTACCCTAACCACTACTTGAGAAACATGCACAATCCTTGCAAGCTCACATGATCAAAATATAAAGATGCAGGCATAAAACGATAAATATAAAAAGATTCTCATATCGGACAATGTACTTAGGTTTCTGTTTTTAGGAATCTGGGTCAAGGTTACCTATGGTGACAGCTATATAGAGGAAACTCCGAAACTAATATAATATCTCCAGAAGGATTATAAAAGAAGTATATAGTCAAATGTTGCATTTCCATTTCTCGAGGGGTAAAGAATAATTTCCCTCTACAACTTTATCATGTATTAGGCTCCTAGCTTTCAATTGCTTTAATGATTCACCAAACAGAAATCCAGTTCAACCTAGGCACTAATAACAGCATCTAGGCGTGCATCAGTATGTCTATATAAGAACTGCAGCGGTACTGACCACCAAACGTGCAAACTGCATTGGTCGACTAATATAGCGACCTGGTTTCAAAGTAAAGATGGATGATTCTCAAATTCACTTAAATGGTTGGGAAAGAAACCACAGATGCAGACATATAATGGATGATGACTGTATTCTCTAGTTTCTATGATATCTTGGCCTATTTTAATCACATTAAGAAGAACTTAAAGTATGTCACACAATCAACATCGCAATGAAAACAGGAACGTTAGAGTATTACCTTAGAGACATGCTCCAATGTAACAGCCTCAGGAACAATAGCTGCACGGAGCCTAATCTCCACAAATCCACTGGCTCCTTTCAGAGGAAAGCACTGCCCAGGCTCTCCGAAACTCGGCCTCAGCATCTTATAAGCATCAGGATGAACCCCACTCAAGCCACCAGCACCAGAGAACCAGCCGCTGAGGGGCCTCCTCTTACCAAACGGTTCGGAGTGCTTTAGCACAGCAGCGCCACCCTCCGCAAGAGCATAATCCACCATGCCAAGTCCATCCGCAGCATGCTTCTCTATTTCTTTATCCACAATGTCCTTTGCATAAGCCCGAATCACATCCAAATTGTAAGAGTCTTCACCCACCTGGAAATCCTTTGTCTTCTTCAATTCCTCGTAGAACTTCAAAAACTCATCTTTGGACAACCAATCCGCTGCCTTCAACTCTGCTATTGATTTCTCCAACTCTTCACTCTTCGTTTCCAAATTCTTCAATGCCGCGTCCAAACTGGAACCAACATCATCAACCTTCTTGTTCACTTCATGCCTCAAACCCCCTACCTCATTATCGATCTTCTTATCTACAACCTCCACCTGAACCTGAATCATTTTCGCCGTGGTTTTCAAAAACGACTCCACTTCCGCAATACGACCCTCAATCTCCGCCAAACCCGTCGGCGTTGCAGCCAAACTACTCTCCGATTTCGCTAACCTCCTAATCAACTGCACTAGCCCTAGCAAAACGAGGAGAAGCACGAAATTCTTGGTCAGAATACTCGCAACCGTCACCCACCGCGGCTTCTCCGGCTTCGGCGCCAGTTTCCGCCCCCTGCGCGGGGAAACCGTCGAATTAACCGCGTTGCCCTTCTTCAGCAGCACCGGATCTTTCGACGTCCTCTCGAGAATCGGCTCCCCGCGGATGGAATTGTGACTCAGATCCTTGCTGTGCGCGGGGGCGGCGACCTTAACCTTATCATTCCCGTCTCCAATGGCTTGTTGCGCTTCGTTGGGCAACAACTCGATGGTGTTGGACTTCTTCTCCCCGGCCAATACCGGCCTCCGGCGAGCAGCCGCTGGGTTCGCCGTGATAGACACGGTCGAAGCGGACATACTTTCCTATCGACGGAGCACAAGCGGCAAGTCTGGATGTTTGACCGGGAAGCAGGAATTGGGAGGGAAAAGGGGGAAACCGAAACCCTAGAATTCAAAAACTGGGAGGAGGAAAAGAACAGAAATGGAGGGAGGGAAGGAATTAACGAACTGGATTTGATGGCGGAGCGAATTTGGAGGGAGGAGGTGTCCTTGGAGAAGGAAAAAGAGATTCCTGGATCGGATCGCAGGATTTACAAGGAAAAAATCACGGGAAAAAGAAACGAAAAGAAATTTTAAAACCGACGCGATATTTTGAGCGCTCAATAGTAGAGGGTAGGCTTCGGCCCACATTAGGTGAGTTTCTGGGCCGAGCTTTTCGGCAGGTTGGATTGGGCCGAGACCAGGAGGAGTTGCACTTGAGGTGTGGAGGAGGACAAGATGTGATCATAACACCATTTAAGAGGTTATGGGCTATTTGGATAAATTAATGATCAAGATTTAATATGGATATTTGGGAATTGTTTTAATCATTTTTATTTTAATTTAGTGATGGCTTGAGAATGATAATCAAGGATGACACTTTTAATTTAAATTCTAGGGTAAAAATTCCAAATTCAAGTTAAATGGATAAGTATAGTAAAAATTATACACAAATTCAGTTACTTTCAGTTTGTTTACGATTAAGTCATAAATTTGAGTATTTTAATCATGTTCATATCAAATTTATAGTTGATAATTACACCCCAAAAAAAATTTATAGTTGATAACATGCTTAATGCTCTTAGCTTTTTTACATGCTATAGAAAGATATTTGCAAAAAATGGAAAGTTCGACATGATATTTGAACCTGAGAACTCATAGATAATAATCAACGGTGAAAAGTATGAACACTAGATCAAATTCATCATCGACATAATACACTTGATTTAAGATTTGGGGCCAACGAAAATTAAGTACGCTAAAGTTAATAATAATTTTAAACTATATTTCCCCTTTTATGTCAACTTAATAATTTATTTTCACTTTGAAACAAATCTGTAATAGTGTGTTGGAAATCTCAGAGGATAATGACATTCCTGCATCACTTGATTCACGTGGACGTCACCTCCTAGATTTCATAATTATTGGACTTGGTTCCATTGAATCAAATTTAATTTTATTTAGATGTATTTTACATTCATTTTGATACATTTTGAAACTAAATAATTTGTATGGTCATCGAAAACGTGTATCCCGTGGCTTGTATCATGGTTGTACAAAACGAAACTATGCTATATTTGTGCATAGACCGGTACTAGTCTTGCTAAGTAATTGTGATGCCCAAAAGGCAGGTGATGACAATTGTAACTTGGGACACATTTAGTTGCCTTTGTATTGAACTTAAAATCAACAAATTTTGATTGATGATTGTGTTATTTCAGTTATATTGTGTTCAGATCTAATAAAAATTCTTTAAATTTTAGACGAACTCTTAAAATTTTCCGAATAAAAGTACAAATTAGGTTGATACACATTGCAATAGTTATCGAGTACTATCGAAATAGTTTGGATGAGTAATTGGGGTTCTAGACTTCTAGTTGACAATAGTGGAGGATAGGTACTCGCCAGCAAACCACATCAATATATTGTGGGACAAGATGTGTGATAATTTGTATTATATTGTGAGATAATTTATATTTGTTTATATAAAGCATCACATCAAAGCAAATACTTGATATGGTTCATCGTTCTTTTAAGTAGAAAGGTAATGTCTTTTCATTTCATGAGTATATAATTTGGTGACAATTCATACCATTTAGGTGTGTCTATTTAGAATAAAAGATATATGATAAAATAGTTTATTTTTGTTAAATTTTTTAATTATTCAATATATAATCTCATATTTGTAATTTTTTATAAATTAAAATACATTAGTAGTCGAAACTATCAAGAATATAATTACTCTCTGTGTACCAAACAATTATTCATGATTTAGTTAGTCGTTTGCTTTCAAATGATGTTCTTTGTAAAGAATCGTTTTGTATCAATAACTCGAACTGTCAAGAGAGGTTCAGTATTAAAGCTTATACCATTTACAAACACCCCTTCCCCCTTCAAAACAAAGTCAACCCATATAGACTCGAAGATTGCAAAAATCTAAATACCAAGTGCTTGCAAATATATATAGGGTCATCAAGATTCGAACACAAGACCTCTCGGTCGACCATTTTGAGTTAGACGCGCCCTAACTTTCACTCTCAATTCACTAGTGTACCTAATTTACATATTTCCCTCCCCAACAGGGCGAGTCCCGAGAGCCGAGACCCACCCTGATATACTCTCCCTCCGCTCAAGCGCTCATTGGGCAACTCTACGTTTTCGCATAACTCCTACTCTGCTCTTATTTGTAAATAATTGCAAATAGGTTGTATGTGCATGTTACCGAACAATCTATAACCTTACATCAAAGATAAATAAACATCGAACTATAAAAACACACAAACTAAATTTTTCATAACTCTCCGATAACCATTTACAGATGACAGTGATACATCGTTATACACACCTGAAATCGAAAATGTATTGTAGACACGTTCCAGAAAAGAAAAGAAAAGATCGTATGAAAGATATTGATGGATTTGAAATCCAAATCGTTATCCATCCCACACCTAATCAAGTAAGTAGCAGGTGAAAACAATTGTCAACGTATGAACAGGGGGGACAGATTGATGATGACAATTGACAAGCAATAATAACGTTTCCTCATTTGGCTATAAATTCAGGCCAAGCTAGCTAGCTAAGCTACTTGTATCTTATACAAAACAAGCAAAGCTTTAATTTGATTATAGCCAGCCAGCCCAGTTAGTTAGTTAGTTATACAGTTATCCCCCTGCCTTGTAAAATTGCTCTTGATTAACATGGCGGCGGAGCCGATGAGCGGGAAGCTGACGGCGGAGGTGGAGCTGCACGGCCCGCCGGCGAAGTTCTACAACGTGTTCAGGAAAACGGCGCACCACATTCCGACACACACCCCGAGCCATATTCAGGCCGTTCAAGTCCACGACGGCGACTGGGAGAGCCACGGCTGCATCAAGTTCTGGATCTATACTTGTGGTACGCGTTGCTAATGCTATGCACTAGAAGACTCATCATTACCGAGAGACTCTCTTAACAATTCTGAGTTATTGCGATAAATGATTTTTTTTTTCCTTCCAATGTTTTCTTTCCAATCACATATTCGATCTGTCCCAAACCCGCACCTCATGATAAATTACCCGATCAGTCATGTGACTAGTATGGTTATCAAGATATCCGCTTCGACCTGTCTGATCAGTATTACCATTATTCCTAGATTTTTTTTTTATTTATAAGTGGTTTTTCGTTTGAGTTTGTTAGTATATAGACTATGGTATATGATTTCATTATTAGATATCTCTGAATAATTCGAGTTATAAAAAAAATCAATTGACACATTATTATAACTCCCTCCACCGTTCACCATCTCCTTGATGATTTCTTCCTTTTCTTTCTTTTCCAATCCATCCATCCATCCATCATGGGAAACACTACTTGTTGTAACATTTATGTCTTTGCAAAACACTTAATTTGTACAGAGGGGAAGATCGAGGTGTTCAAGGAGAAGGTGGAGTTCGACGACGCCAAGAAGACCGTGAAGCTGAACGGGCTGGAAGGCGACGTGATGAAGATCTACAAAGTGTACAACCCGATCTTCGAGTTCGTCGCCGAAGCCGGCGCCGGCGGGAAACAGGGGGTGGCGAAACTGGCGATCGAGTACGAGAAGCTGGACCCGAGCTTCCCGCCGCCGACCAAGTACATGGATTTCATGATCGGACTCACCAAGGAGGTCGACGCCGGCATCGTCAAAGCCGCGCTTGATTGATTCCCATCATCCATCGTCGGCGATTTACCGTTACTACTCTGCCTTCGTATGCTTTATCGATCGGATATATGTTTTGCTATAGCTAATATAATCGACGTCTCTGCAGAAGTATGTGTGTGATTTTTCTGTTAAGTGTGTACGTATCTAAGTCAAGAGTGGTTGTGTGTGGCTGGTGAAACGATGTGTGGGTTTGCCAGAAAAATGCTAAATAAAGAATCGATTTTCAAGCGAGTAATTTTGAGGTTTCTTTCGAGTGCGGATCTGGTGACTAAGGGGGGTGCTTAGTCACTTGACTAAGCCCCTCCTAGCCATTAGATCTGGACACTTCAATCCAATGGTTAAAAAGTGGGAAGGGCTATTTAATTAATGGCAGGGGTAGTTTGGGTATTATGAAAAATTACGAAGTATACAAACCGGATTTACAATCAGTACAAACCATACAAACATACGAACAGTACAAACTAGAGCGACAAAACATACAAACAGATTTACAAACATTACAAACATATGAACTGTACAAACAATACAAACTAGACTGACAAACAATACAAACCATACAAAAAGAAAAAACAACCGGGTTGACTTTTGAGGCTCCATCCCTATATAGAGGGGCTCCTTCCCAAAGTCAACCCGGGTGTTTTTTAGACATACAAACAGTACGAACATGGTGGACAAACAATACAAACTAGACCGACAAACAATACAAACCATACGAACGGGAAAAAACAACCGGGTTGACTTTGGAGGCTCCATCCCTATATAAAGGGGCTCCTTCCCAAAGTCAACCCGGGTGTTTTTTAGACATACAAACAGTACGAACATGGTGGACAAAAATGACAAACTAGACCAACAATCCATACGAACGGGAAAAAACACCCGGGTTGACTTTGGAGGCTCCATCCCTATATAGAGAAGTTCCATCCAAAAGTCAACAAGGTTGTTTTTTAGACATAAAAAACATTACAAACATGGTTGACAAAAATGATAAACATGGTGCACAAAAATAACAAAGTTTACAAACATTACAAAATAACAAAGCGTACAAACATTACAAAATATGTCAACAAACATCACAAAATTGGCACTGTCACCGGAAAATTCTTCTCCGTCCGCGTTGGTCGCCGGGAAAAAATTTCCGACCAGAAAATTTCCGACCAGAATCTCTCTCTCTCTCTCTCTCTGTGTGTGTAATAATGGTGCCCAGCTTGCGCCCAGGAATTCTTTTCTTCTGGGGAATGGAAATGGGCTTCTAGGGAAATTCCCCTGTAAATAATGGCGCCCAGGATTCCCCCGTCGGAGACGGAGACGACGCAATACCGGACGGAGAGGCGAGGCGACGCAAAGGTACGGGCACGGCGCTGATTTTTTTCTATTTGTTTTATAATTAAAAATTAAAATAAATATGAAATTACTACATTGCCCTTCATTAAATTGAATTAATAAGAGCCCTTGGATTTTAATGAGATTGAGTGGCTCAGATGCACTTAGTCATATGACTAAGGGGACCCCCCTTAGTCACCTGATCTTGGCCCGTTTCTCTGTACTTTAATTATCCCCTTCAATTGGTTTCGTTCGTCGTTTCGGGTTGTATGCTGAGCCGCGTGTAGAGGTGGCAAATGGATAGGATTCATGGATTGGTATATTAGATTGGCGGATCCATAGATCAAATGGATTGGTGGATTATCCATGAATCCAAATGACATCCTCAACTTTGGACCAATATGTAAAATGTGAAAAGTTTAGGTACTAAAATGTCATAATGAAAATTGTTAGGTACCAAAACGTAATTTTCCAGTGATATTTTATGTATAAAAAATAAATTGTTGGTATTGATGCCTCAAATTAATTCCAAGACTTGGAGTTATGGAAGACACTTGAGGTTACTTGGGGTTATGAAAATTAATGACCACATGGAGTTAATTATGTGGAGCTTCCATTTGGTTAATGGGAGTGTCGTTCACCTTTTCTTTGGCAGCTCATAAGCCATTTTACATGGCTATAAATAGAGAGTCTATTGTTGTTGAATAGACACCAATTTCATCCAACTCCTTTATTCTCCAAAAGTGTAGAATATCTTCTTGAGTACTTTTCTTTTTTGTTGGGAGTTTTCTACTTACTCCACAACTTTGTCCGTTGAAGATTATTCTTTGATCATAGTGGATTTACTGGCTTGTCCAGCCCGTGGTTTTTCTCCCTCCTCTTTGGAGGGTTTTCCACGTAAAATTGGTGTCTTGTCTTTGTTCATTCTCTTCTCTATTTTCTTGTTCGATTTCATATTGGGTTTGCTTTCGCTAGTGCTCATTTATATCCAGGTTCAAAAGTCTATAAAAGACAACAAGTGGTATCAGAGCCCTTGACAACCAATTGAAATCCTCGACAAGATGACTGCAAAGTTTGACATTGAGAAGTTTGATGGCAAGATATCATTCTCGATATGGAGAATTCAAATGAAGGCAATTTTGACACAAAATAGTGTTCAAAAGGCTTTACTTGGTCTCGAAGCCAAACCAGAGACCTTGACTGATGTCCAATGGGAAGAGCTCGATGAAAAGGCTCTTACTGCTATTCAATTATGCCTGTCAAAATCGGTTTTGCAAGAGGTGGTGAGTAAGACAACTGCAATTGGACTTTGGACAAAATTAGAGTCACTTTACATGACGAAAAGTCTCGCTAACAAGCTTCGTCTAAAAGAGAAGTTGTACACTACTCGTATGGCTGAAGGTACTCCAATTCAAACCCATCTTTCTACCTTCAATTCCATTGTTATGGACTTGGAAAATATTGAAATGAAAATTGAAGATGAGGATAAAGTTGTTTTATTAATATGCTCATTGCCCCAATCCTTTAAACACTTTAAAGAGATCATGCTCTATGGAAATATGGATACTTTGTCTTATGAAGATGTAAAATCTAACTTACTGTCAAAAGAAAAATTTGACTTTGAGTCCAGTTCTAATGGCAAAGGTGAAGGTCTATTTATAAGAGGAAGATCCAAGGAAAAAGGGGAATCAAGCAAAGGTAAAGGTAAAGCTCGATCCAAGTCACATGGTCGAAAATCTGATGATGGGAAGTGTTGTCGCAAAACTGGTCATGAAATTTCTAATTGTTTCAAATTAAAGGCCAAAGAAGAAAAGAAAAAGCAATCTCAAAAGGCTTCTGAAGCCGGAGAAGCTAGTATCGTCAATGACGATTCCGATGGTGAAGGTTTGGCAACAATTTCTTCTTACGATGGCAGTAATTCGGATGTTTGGGTCCTTGATTCTGCATGCACTTTTCATATTTGTCCCAATAAGAACTGGTTCAAAACACTTAAACCTGTTAATTCTGGTGTTGTGCTAATGGGAAATGATGATCCTTGCAAAGTTCTTGGTATTGGTACAATTGAAATGCGTCTTCATGATGGGGTTGTCAGAACTCTTTCTGATTTTCGCTATGTTCCTGACATGAAGCGAAATCTTATTTCTTTAGGCACCCTCGAGTCTCTTGGGTGCAGATATGGAGCTGAAGGTGGAGTTATTAAGGTATCTAGAGGTTCTCTTGTTCTGATGAAAGCTAACCGCATTGGTATGATATATGTCCTGCAGGGTTCTGTTGTTACAAGTTCAGCAGATATTTCTACCTCGCTGCTTGATTCGCATAATACTCAATTATGGCATATGCGGCTAGGACATATGGGTGAAAAACCAATGACAGTTCTAAGCAAGAGAGGACTATTGGGGAACCAAAATTTTGGGAAACTTGACTTTTGTGAACATTGTATCTTCGGGAAGAAGAAAAAGATCAGTTTCTCTCCTGCTTCCCATAGTTCCAATGGGGTGCTTGATTATATTCACTCGGATTTATGGGGACCCTCTAAATTTCCTTCCATAGGAGGTCGTAGATACATGATGACAATTATTGATGATTTCTCTCGTAAGGTTTGGGTTTATTTCTTACGGCACAAAAATGAAGCCTTCTCTGCATTTAAAAAGTGGAAAGTGCTAGTTGAAACTCAATCAGGAAGGAAAGTTAAGAAGCTTAGAACTGACAATGGATTGGAATTCTGTGAAAATGCATTTAATGAATTTTGTTCCTCACATGGAATCGGAAGACACAAAACTCTAGTTAAAACACCTCAGCAAAATGGTATTGCCGAAAGACTTAACAGAACAATTCTCGAAAGGACTCGGTGTATGATGTCAAATGCAGGGTTATGGCATAGACGTGATTTATGGGCAGAAGCTGCAGCCACAGCTTGTTATTTAATCAACCGTTCTCTACATAAGTCGTTGGATTATAAAATTCCAGAAGAAATTTGGACAGGTAAACCAGTTGATTATTCCAAATTAAGAATATTTGGTTGCCCATCATATTATCACGTCAATGAGGGTAAGCTCTCTCCAAGAGCTAAAAGGTGTTTATTTCTGGGATATTCTATGGAGTCAAAAGGCTATCGTTTTAGGTGTGTTGAATCTCACAAGGTTATTCAAAGTAGAGATGTTACATTTAATGAAGATTCCTTATTTTCAGCCAAAGATGGTACTTCTTCGTCCCATGATGCAGAAAATTTTGAGACTCCAAGAGACAAGGTGGAGTTCAAACAACAAGTTGATTCACCTACTCATCTATCTTCTCTAGAGTTAAATCCTAGTGAAGTTCAAAATGAGGAAATGTCACCTCAAGTGCCACAAGATTATATCTTGGCTCGAGATCGGCCAAGGAGAGTTATACAAAAACCTGCTCGATATAGAGATGATGAGCTTGTTGCGTATGCTATCGCCGTTGCACAAGAAATTTCAGAAGAAATTGAGCCTTCTTCTTTCAAAGAAGCTATATCTTGTGTAGATTCATCTAAATGCCTTGCGGCAATGAATGAAGAAAACGAAAGTTTGTTGAAGAATAATACATGGGAATTATGTATCCTTCCTACGGGGAAGAAAGCACTTTCAAATAAGTGGATATACAAAAAGAAAGAAGGAATTCCCGGTATTGAAGAGGCAAGATGGAGGGCGCGGTTGGTTGTTCGCGGCTGCAACCAACGTGAAGGTATTGATTTCAATGAAATCTTTTCTCATGTTGTTCGTCACACTTCCATAAGAATTTTGCTCTCTTTTGTTGCTCTCTTTGATTTGGAGTTAGAGCAACTTGATGTGAAAACTGATTTCCTTCATGGTGATCTCGAGGAGGAGATATACATGAAGCAACCAGAAGGCTTTGTGATTCCAGGAAAAGAGCATATGGTTTGTCGCTTGAGAAAATCATTATA